TGCCACTGCACTCCAACCTGGGCAACAGAGCAAGACTCCATCTCAATTAAAAAAAAAAAAAAAAAAGAAGAAGAATGTTGTTAAAAATCATACAGTATGTAACATTTTGGTTTCAGCTCCGCATAGTTCCCTCTAGATTCATCCACTTTATTGCATGTAACAACAGTTCATTCTTCTTTATTGCCAGATAGTATTCCATGGTATGGATGCAACATATAAAGGCTCTTTGAAAACCATAATCCATCCTCCTAACTCTCCCCTCTCTTTCTCCCTACTGCCCTCTTCCCTCTTCTCCTCTCTTCACAGCAATGCCAAGTGAGTACACGTATGTGAAACTGAGAAGTGATTGCTCGAGGCCTTCCCTGCAATGGTACACCCGAGCTCAAAGCAAGATGAGAAGACCCAGCTTATTATTAAAAGACATCCTCAAGTAAGTACCGCCCCTGGGACTGTAGATCCCCCTGCTTTGGGTCAACTGTGTAGAAGTAGGAGAAAAATTCAATGAGAGTCACAAGATGGCTAATGTTGGAGAGGCACACTTGGTCAAAGGCTCATTCAAAGGCACATCTGAGTGAAGACTGAGTGCACAGCTGGAGTGGGCCTGAACAGCTGACTGTATAATTGGTAAGTGCACAGTGCCCAGTAGCTGCTCAGGCCCTGTACCTGGGCCTGGATGCCTGGGAGAGCAACTCTCACCGTGCACTGCTCTTCATGCCCTTATTTAACAAAAGAGGGCTTTTCCCTTAGCTATTGTAAGTTAATCTAAAATATGGTTAATTAAATTTCCCTGAAGGCACTTGAATACTATTAAATATCGAATACTAAAAACGATAACAAGTGTTTGAGCCGGGTCACCCTTACATGCTAATAAGTGGTAGAATTAATCAAGGAGGAACTTGGCAGGTTTTTTTTTTTAGCATATATACCATTCAAACCCAGTTGAAAATTGCCCTTTTTTCATGTCTAAACATAGAAATCCAACCTTGCAATCTAGTCTTCTGTCTCACTTTACTGACTTAGGAGGTGTAGGAAAAAAGGAAATTTATAAGAATAAAGCTTATGTGATATTCAGCCTCCCTTTAGTCACCAACCAGTATTTATTGAGGCCCACAACGTGCCTGACATGCTGGGCGCCAGCCACAAGGCAGCAGGGGAGATAGACCTGCGTCCTGTCCTGCTTAGGCTGTAGGTGAGGTGGACTCATACCAGGAATTAAGGCACAGTCTGATATATGCTACAGACACTGGGCTTGCCTTCACGCCCTTTTCTTTTCTTTTTCTTTTTTTTTTTTTTTAACTAAAATAAGGGAAGTATATTCACTGAATGTAACACCTTTTCTGGGGCTGAAGAGAAGAATAGGTAATATTAGGTTTATAAGATTAAAAATTCAAAAAGTATTAAAGAGTCTCAGTGAAACAGCTTCTCATCCCTGCTCCCCATTTCCCCTCCATACTTAAAGATAACCAGTGTCACCAGTTTCTTGTGTATATGAGAAATATTGTGTGTGTGTGTGTGTGTGTGCTCTGCCATGCCCCCTGCCCAAATCCACTTTTACACTAATTGATAGCATCCTGTTCACTTATCATTGTACACAGTCCCATTGTACACAAGGGAAGAATTAAGATGCTTGTCCAAGTTATCATGGGAAGCCTGTTTAAATGAGAATTTTAAAGTTTTAAAAATGCTCCCACCAACACTTCATTGTATTCTCATCCTCAAATATTAAGAAATATTTTGGCCGGGCGCGGTGGCTCAAGCCTGTAATCCCAGCACTTTGGGAGGCCAAGACGGGTGGATCACGAGGTCACAAGATCAAGACCATCCTGGCTAACACGGTGAAACCCCGTCTCTACTAAAAAATACAAAAAACTAGCCAGGCGAGGTGGCGGGCGCCTGTAGTCCCAGCTACTCAGGAGGCTGAGGCAGGAGAATGGCGTGAACCCGGGAGGCGGAGCTTGCAGTGAGCCGAGATCCGGCCACTGTACTCCAGCCTGGGCGACAGAGCGAGACTCCGTCTCAAAAAAAAAAAAAAAGAAATATTTTGTATGTATTATGTATAGTATATTATGCTAGATGCTTTTTTTGGAAAAAAAAACCTGCCCCTTTATTTAGCAAATGGATTATTTTCTCTCTAATTATTTCTTACATTTGTTTTTTCAAGAACAGAATTGTTTAAAGCAGTGGTTCTTAAACTTTGGTTAGAACTTTTTAGCTTGTGGTTTGTGTCACTGGAGAACTTAGTAAAAATGAGATTTCTAAAACTAAGACTAGACTCAGCTCTTTTCTCCAAGTCGTGTGTGTGTGTGTGTGTGTGTGTGCATTAAACCATATAATAGTGTGAATTTATCAGATCTTTAAAGATAATTTTAGGTCATCTTAAGGGTAACTAATGATCTCACTTCCCAGTCAGCCTCACTTCTGGGTAGAATTCTTTAGAAGTACTATGAATAGACTGTTTCTTTTCTTTTTCTTTTTTTTTTTTAAGGACTGACAGAATTTTAATGTCACAAAAGATTGAAGCCAAGATTCTATCGCTCAAGTCTATTACTTGATTTGAAGTTCAATAATTGGCATTGTGATTCAGGTTTTGTTACAGTGCCCTTGCAAAAAAAAAAGGTTATTCTGTGTTTGCTTATAACAAAGACAGTCATAAATGACTAGTTTATCTTGTCAGGAAAATAGGAACTGGCCCCTTCCTTTCACCCCAACGTCAACGTAAAGATTGTAGTTTTATGCTGCATAGCAGGCAGACTCATTTAGGATTCCGTTTTCAGTTTCACATTGCATCTCATGATTCTCACATGACTACATCATAATACCTAATTGATTTTTTTCCAGATGTACATTGCTTGTGTTTGGAGTGTGGATCCTTTATATCCTCAAGTTAAATTATACTACTGAAGAATGTGACATGAAAAAAATGCATTATGTGGACCCTGACCGTGTAAAGGTTAGATATCCCATTGGTGTGGTTTAAATGAAAACATTGCCAAGCATATGCTTAAATTATAATATCATTAGTCTACTGTGTTACAAATATATGTTAATAAAAGTTTGAACACAGAGGGGAAAGCACTTAATCTCAGCACTCCAAAACCAAAGACAACCTTCTTCTAAAAACCTACCACTAACTACTCCACAGTAGCCTTCTCCCATTTACTGCAGCTGGGATGTGGGATGAGGTAGGCTCAACCGAACAGGCTCTAGGGCTCCTCTTGGAATTAATTTGTCCTGATGCTGTAAACAACAAAGAAATTCTCTTCTTGTTTTCTTGTCTCCCTCTTTTTTTTTTTTTTTTTTTGAGTCAGGGTCTCGCTCTGCACCCAGGGTTGAGTGCAGTGGCAAGAACACAGCCACCTCAGCCTTCTGAGTAGCTGGGACCACAGGTGTGCATCACCATGCCTGGCTAATTTTTTAATTTTTTTGTGGTGATGGGGTCTTGCCGTGCTGCCCAGGCTGATCTTGAACTCCTAGGCTCAAGCTATCCTCCTGTTTTGGCCTCCCAAAGGGCTGGGATTACAGACATGAGCCACCATACCTGGCCAGAAATTCTCTTAATATCATCTGTCCTTCCTATGTTTTATTTTTAATTTTAATGAATTCACATTACATTGCAAGATTTTTCTTTCCGCTTACATTTATGTTTCCAAATCAAGTGACATATCGAATGCTCATTTCACTGATTATTTTAGTTGCTGGATTATCTGATAACATTTAGCCCAGGATGGAGGAAGAGATGATTTTAAATAAATTAGCATGGGAGGAATGATAACTGACATGTATGGGTGCTTTATATGTATTATCTCATTTAGTCATTGTGACTGGGAGAGATCCCAGTACCATCTCCATCTTACAGATGATGGCTTGAAAGGTTGAGCTGCTCACCCAAGTTAATGTCTAGTTTAGCTTGCTAGTTTATAATGTAGTTTAGTGCTCCTGTGTACCAGGAGGTGTTCTAAAAGTGTACTAGCAATGTTAGCCCATTTAACTCTCATCACATTCCTGGGGATGTAGTTGCACAATCATCCCCATCTCACAGGTGGGGAAACTGAGGAGCAGGGAGATTTAGTAACCTGCCCAGGGTCACCTGCAGCAGTACATGGTGAAGCCCAGGCTTGAACTCAGCGGTGTGGTTTCAGAGTCTGAGCTCCTGACCACTCTGCTGTCTGCCTGGGTAGGGAGTGTCCACAGAGAAGCCCAAAGTTAAAAGCAGCATGGTGCAGAGAGGAAAGAGCTGAAATGTTTTACCTCAATTCAAATCTAACTGCTACTTAGTAATGTATCCCGGCCCGCGGGATCGTCGAAGCAGGCCCTGGAGGAGGGAGTGGGAATTTGGGGAACAAGAGACACGAGAAATGGAGACAAGACAGTGCTCTGATCAAGTCTCGTTTAATGGTGGTAATGCAGTGCCTTATATACACTTGAAGAGGAAGGGGTTGGGCCAAGGTGGAAATGATCTCATTTCGGAGGGCGTGGCCAGGCAGGTTTCGGTTTCAATGGTCGGATGTCATGTTGCGCCTGCGCTATAAAGTAACAACTTTCGCGCGCGCGGGAAAGATGGGTGAAGAAGAAGCAGGAAGAGTGCCATCTTGTGTGAGGTATTTAATACAGGGGAAAAGGACAAATCTAGGAAGGAGGTGAGAGGTGGAAATGAATAGCGCTCAGGCATTTAATCGTCAATAATTACTTGCCATGGCCGGGGCGCGCAGCTCCGGACAGTAATGGTGAAACCCTACACAGGTGACTTGATTGTTTTGAGTCCCAGTTTTCTCAGCTGTGAAATGTAGAAGTTGAGTAAGACAATATACACAAAATTCCTTTCTTGGTCCTAATTTTTACTCTTACGTTTCTACGTTAATTTGTGCATCCTTTGAAGTGCCTCCAGTTTTGTTTTTTTTGTGCTACAGACAGGTATAAACAAATAAATGAAGAGCTTAGTTAGCAAAGGCATAGCTTGGCTTCTGCAAAACTATTGAGTTTCGGGTTCTTGCTGGTCACAGGGCCAGCCTTCCCGGCATAGGTGTCCTCAGGTGTCTGTTGGCTCATGTCATTTCATCAGCATTAACACATCTGCTTTGGTCGAGTAGGATGTGCCCAGTACCCTCTGCTCAGGTTTCCGTCTCCTCCTGCACTGTCTGGCCTTGCAAACATACCTCCCCCCATCCTTTCCAATTCCACGTCCCTTCACAGCTCTCTTGGATAAAGGTTTTAGACATCTGGTCTCTGTTTTTGTCTCCTGAGAAAGTCTTTAAATGATGGCACTTGGTATGGCTTACTGGTGGGCTGGGAACTCTTCCCTTTGTTTCTTTGCTGCTCTTCTCCACTTTCTGTATGCATCCTCTTTTTCCTGTCCATTACCATCTGACCGGCTGCAAAGTGATTTTTCTAAAGTCTGGGTCAGTTGAGGAGAGAGGTGAGCTTTCCTGTACAAGGCCAAGCAGACTATTCCACAAGCACAGGGTGGAGAAGGTGTGTTTTAGTAATACCCTGGGGGAAATCAACTTGGTAGTTTTCCTGTCCAGTCAGGGCCATGTGTCAACCTGTGCCCCGGCTTCCTGTGATCATTTTGAACTTAAGCCACATGGTCTGCTTGTCTTTGCAACGGTCAGTCAAGTGCTCTGGTTGTTAGGCTGTTACTTGTTAAGGCTCCCCTAAGGAATGCTAGTGATTTCTGAAAATGAGCAGAGGAGAAACTCAAGATCACCTCCCTGAGGAATCATAGAAGGGATAGGAACATCTGTGTAGCCTTAAAGAGAGAAGACCTGGTGCAGGGCACATGGCGGTCAGTGTCAATGAACTGCCACCCCCGATACAGGCCACAGAAGGATGGGCATGCCCAGCTGGCCTTAATGGCAGAGCTCTGTATCAGGGGGTGGCAGCCAAGCTCAAAGGAGAAAGGTTTGACAGTCCCAGGCATCCAAAGATGGGATAAACAGACCGCCTTTGTGGTGACTCTCTGGAGGTCTTTAAGAAAGTCAGGGGTCTGGCCGAATGTGGTGGTCACAGCTGTAATCCCAGCACCTTGGGAGGCTAAGGTGGGTGGATGATGAGGTCAGGAGTTCAAGACCTGCCTGGCCAACATGGTGAAACCCCATCTCTACTAAAACTACAGAAATTAGCCAGGCATGATGGCAGGTACCTGTAATCCCAGCTACTCAGGAGGCTGAGGCAGGAGAATCACTTGAACATGAGACCGAGAGGTTGCAGTGAGCCAAGATGGTGCCATTTCCCTCTAGCCTAGGTGACAAGAGTGAAACTCTGTCTCAAAAAAAAAAAAAAAGAAAGAAAGCCAGGGGTCCTGTAGGTAGAATTCAGACATCAGACAGGGAGGGGCTCAGGGACCTTTCTGATCCCTTCCAAGTCTGAGATGCTATGGTTCTCAGCAATTCGCCAGGGCCTGACTGGAAAATGAGGCTGGTTTCGTAACCTGGGGCTTTCCCAGTTCCGAATTCTGGGTGGAGTTGTCTCAGTCAGAAGGCTGTCAGAGAACACCTGCATGCAGCCCCACCAGTCCCCAACTCAGTGACTTTCAGACTAAACCTCACTGCTACTTCCAGGCTCCTCTGAAGCTTGCCAGAGTCCATCGGTATTATCCTAATTCATGTGAGCTTCTCATCCTGCCATCTAAAATATACTTGAGAGTAGGGACTGTGTCTGTAAAAATACATAGTTCCTGGCATTCCAGGGAAAGGTGTAGTGAGCCAGGACTGCCCTTTAGAGTCTCCTGCTCTTCCCGTTTCCGTGGTTGTGCGTCTCCTCACCTGCCTTCCTGCATCCAGGAATGCCCTGCTGTGGTCGGAGTAGTCGTATTCTACAATTTGAATCTAATATGTTGCTTCCCTCCTTAAAACTCTTTGATGCCTCTCCTTTACCTTCAGGAAAATACCCAGACTCTTTAGTCTGGCCCATGAGACCGTTCATGACTTGATTCCTACTGATCTCTCCAACCTCTTTATGCCACCTCCATTATCCCAGCTCTATGTATTTTAGGCATACTCAACCCCTCAAAGGTCCTTGGGTGAACCTCTTCTCTTCTTTGTTTTTCTCTCTCTCTCTTTTTTTTTTTTTTTTTTTTTTTTGAGACAGTCTCACTCTGTCTCCCAGGCTAGAGTGCAGTGGCACAATCTTGGCTCACTGCAACCTCCACCTCCTGGGTTCAAGTGATTTTCCTGCCTTAGCCTCTTGAGTAGGATTACAGGCATGCGCCACCATACCCAGCTAATTTTTGTATTTTTAGTGGAGACGGGGTTTTGTCATGTTGACCAGACTGGTCTCGAACCTCTGACCTCAGGTAATCTGCCCGCCTCGGCCTCCCAAAGTGCTAGGATTACAGGCGTGACCCACTGTGCCCAGCTTCTTTTCTTTTCTTTTCAACAGGGCCTCACACTGTCACCCAGGCTGAAGTGCAGTGACCTGATCATTGCTCACTGCGGCCTCAACCTTCCGAGTAGCTGGGATTATAGCATGTACCACCATACCTGCCAAATTTTTTTTTTGTAGAGACAGGGTCTCACTATGTTTCCCAGGCTGGTCTCAAACTCCTGTACTCAAGTGACTCAAGTGATCCTCCTGCCTCAGCCTCCCAAAGTGCTGGGATTATAGGCATGAGCCACCATGCCCTGTCCTCAAAACACCTTTATTGAGATATAATTAACACACCGTATACTTCACCCATTTAAAGCATACAGTACAGCTGGGCATGGTGGCTCTTGTCTCTAATCCCAGCTTTTTGGGAGACTGAGGCAGGAAGGATCATTTGAGGCCAGGAGTTTGAGACCAGCCTGGGCAACATACCAAGGCATCATCTCTATTAAAAATAAAAACATTAGCCTTGTGTGGTGTCTCACAACTGTAGTCTCAGCTACTCCAGAGACTAAGGCGGAAGGATCACTTGTGCCCAAGAGTTTGAGGTTACAGTGAGCTATAATCACGCCACCGCACTCCAGCCTG